CACCTAACACAGCTGAGTGCAGAGAGGTGTGCTCATCAATGAAATGACAGGTGACTGCCAGATATGCATCTGTGTTGATGCTGGTCCACATATCTGCTGTTATGCTCACAGCAGAGGACTTTGCTATGAGGTCTTGGGCTTTCTCTTTTGCCTGCTGGTACCTCTCCTCCACCATGGCTTTCAAAGTCTAAAGGAAATGAGAAAGAACACTATTGGAAGAGCACTTATGGGGCAGTGGGGAATAATGATTCATGTGCTCTCACACACCCGCCTGGTGGGGAGAACATATGTAGGGTCAAAAGTTTGGATAAGCTTCCTGAACCCACAAAACTGAAGGGCTGGCAATCTTCAATAGCCATATTGATTTAATGCCTCCTCCACTGCATTCTTATCCACTGCAGTTGAACAGAAACAGAGTTAATGATAGATGTCATTCATTTCATCTGTCACATTTGAAATACACATGGTAGGCTATGCTGTTCTTTCATTGCATGTTAAAATTGTGTTTGAGTCGTCTCCTTATTTTCATGCAGGGCCCTACAATGCCTCAACAGAGATGACGTGCTCTCTTGGTACCCAAGTTCTTTGGAACAAAGTTTACACTTCACCTTTTGAAATATCAGCAAGTAGAAGAAAGACTTTACAATGAGGGATGCACTGTGCTGTCACAACAATTTACAATATATATATTCACACTGGTTATAATTTGTACCTTTTTAGGAGAGATCTGCTCAAAATGATCCCAGACAGGGGATGTTCTCTTCTTATTCGTTGTGGATGGTGGGGTGCGTCCAAAGCCGTCCATTGTAAAACGAATCGGAATGAGTTGAGATTGGGAGATGCGAGTTAAGTGTCAGCGTCACCTGTGAGCTCATTGTCGTCCCGGTGCGCCGAATGTGTTTCGATTTGTGGCGGTGACGTAGGAATCCCGTCCCGCGAGGCTTCGGGCGGAGCAACGCGCGTTCCGAGGTATGGGGCGTGGCCACAAGCGTCATCGACACACGCCTCGGTGCGCGCTTGGCAGATTTTCTTCCAGTTTACTCGGCACGCGCATCGGAACCTCGGCACAGTCGGGCACGTCACTACTAGACACTAGCATGGAGAAGAAACATATCACGACTTTAAGGGACGTCTGCTTGAAAGCCGTCCATTGTCATTTCTGTTTACAAAATGTGGGCGCAGGGCAGATTCTCGGTAAGTGGAACACATGTTTTATTTTTGTTCGCGTTGAGGGCTCCCCAAACAACGGCGAGCATTTCAGCACAGGCTAAAGCGGATACCGCGTTTCACCCATATACATTTCGTTTGTTGAAGAGTTACTACATCTTCATCTTATAAAACAAAACATTTATTTACTCACTTTAACACACAGCGCAAGCGCGACTCGTAAACTCGACCGACTAACCGAAGCGATGCATGAATAAATACACCGTGGTAGGTCATTTTGCCATAACTGGCAACTCACATCTGTACGGAAGAGCATGAGGGCCAATGAAGAAAAAAAAAAAAAGGTTGGCAAGATTCTGACTTTAATCTCAGAATTCTCACTTTAAAGTCAGAATTCTGACTTACTTTAAAGTGAGAATTCTGAGATTAAAGTCAGAATGACTTTAAAGTGAGAATTCTGAGATTAAAGTCAGAATGACTTTAAAGTCAGAATTCTGACTTTAAAGTCATTCTGACTTTAATCTTTAAAGTCAGACTTCTGACTTTAAAGTGAGAATCTTGCCAACCTTATTTTTTTTTCTTCATTGGCCCTAATCCTCTTCCGTACCTCTGCACCCTATTGCAGCTTTGCTTGGTGCAATTTAAAAATTGCACTTTACAATATTGCGTACGACGTGGTTTGATTCAGCGCGATTACGATTTGATTCCATGTCTCAGTTCGAGAGAGTGCAAATGCAACGAGTTTCTTGTCATGTTACACCGTCAATGTACATGCCAGTACTGTAAATGTGGCATTTCCTTCAACCTTTCTACAGGCAGCTCCACAAATATTTTTGACCGACACTATTTTCAGCATTCCAGCTCTGTGCAACACCAAAATGGATTTGATATGAAACAATCCATCAATCAATCAAACGACAACAACAACATGTGCTTTGAAGTACAGACTCTGAGTAAAGGGTTTAGAATGGAGCAACAGAAACACATTCCTTTGAGAGAGTTGACTTCTGTCCGTCTCCCTCGTATCTTTTAACAAGTTTTATTTCGTTTCCATTGCACCAGATCTGCCAGCAGACCTATTGAAAGATCTCCTTCCTTTCATGAACGTGTGTCAGCTGGATGAGCTTCAGACTGGCCTTGAGCTCAAAGGAGTGTCCACCTACTCTGCATGGATGAAGATGTACCGAAAGTTGGTGGTGAGGGAGCAGGTAGCTGTCGTCAGCACGTTACGCTTCACTGAGCCACGATTGGGCGTTACCCGAGCCCCGAGCAACTGTGATCTGACCAAACCAATAACTGAAGCAGCAATAAATACATTTAAATTATCCTGTTTTCTGAATAACGGGATGGAAATGAAAAGCCTGTTTTAAAAAAAAAAAAAAAAAAAAAATATTTAATTGATTACACAATGACGGGACTGCCCCTGC